CACACACACACACACACACAGACACATCTCACCTGACAGCCAGGTATCCGCGCACACACATCTCCATGAACCACTTGAAGGGGGTGGCCTCCATCTTCCCGCCCATGATCATCACCATCTCATCGGTCAGTTTGATGTCCGGCTCCCAGCCCAGATTCCCACCCGGAGAACTCTCGAACATGAAGCCGAAATCTGAAACACACGCACACATAAGAAACACACATGATAACGCAGAACAGAAACGTTCATTCTTAGATGTCTCACCGATGTGGATGAGGTGGCCCTGTCTGTCCAGCATGATGTTTCCATTGTGTCTGTCCTTGATCTGCAGCAGGAAGAGCAGCAGACTGTATGCGGCCATGCTACGGATGAAGTTATACCTCGCCTGATGGACACACGAGGAACAGAAAAACAGAAAACCAGTGTTCCTCAATGCTTTAAGACCCTCATTGTTCACAGCCGGGTTCATTAAGTATAAAAATGTCTGCTAAATGCATTAATTTAAATGTAAAATGCATAAATGTAAATGCCCCTAGCTCTAGTTTTCCCATAATTTTTTATGGGAACTCCAAAAAGAGTTAAAAAAAAACAAAAAAAAAAACGTAATTTATTTAAAACGCACTTTTAAAATTAGTTAAAATATTCAAGTTTAAATAAAAATATTAATTAGCAATTTTTATATTGATTAGTAGCTTATTTTATTGTTTGTTTGTATTGTATGATTATTAATAATTTTAAGTCATGATGTGGTAATGAGGTCTGAACGAATGACTGACAGAATTAATTAATAAATGAATGAATGAAAATAAAAAAATATTAAAGTCACAAAAATTTAAATAGGAAATATATTGATTTGTAGTTGTTTTAAATTAGTTTAAATATTGTATTGTATGATTTTAAATCATTTTAAGTCATGATTGCCCTCTAGTGGACTGGTTTAGAACCACTGGCTTTTCTCACCTTCTGGAAGGCTAGAGTGGATTCGTCTCCGTACTGGTTACGGAAATAATCGTACATCCCGAAATCCGTCTGTCGTCCCAGCTGATCTCTGGACTTACAGTCTGGGATGCACTCGATGACGCCACACTGATACAAACACAGGACCTTCACATCAACCAACAACATCCAGACACAAAGCTGCTGGCGTCACACCTGCCAGACTCATTTCTCTCAGTTCGCTCTCATATATTCAAAATCAGATCAAGAACAGCACACAAACATAAACAAATATAATAAAGGGGATTAATATGCAATACAGGCAGTGAGATGTGTGTTTGTCTGTACAGCCAATGCTCATGTGCCGTTTCAGTGAGATTTACAATCAATAAACATGGACTGTTGGGGATGTCTTATTTCATTAGTCGTGTAAGTTTAGACACAGAAAAATGGCCAGTTACACAGTCAACATGGATAACAAGACGTGTTTTTTTGGCTGGGTTGCAAAGGGACAGGTTTGGATTAAATCAGGCCAGGACAACCATGAAACCATCATTACCAATATCAAACCTAAACCTGCTTAAAATCAAAGCTAAATCATTACAATTGAAAATTGATGGGGTGCCAGTCAGTGAAACTCAAAAATAAAAATAATACAAAATTAAAATGAAAAAAATAATAATTTTAAAATTAAAAAAAATGTAATAAAATAAACATTTAAAAAACTAAATTTAACATTGAAAAATAATAAAAAAAAAATAATAATAAAAAAATAATAATAATAATAACAACTCACCCCTGGTGCTGTAGCGACCACCCTATATGGAAAAACGAACAGATCGAGTCCCACCAGCTGGAAAATGTTCTTAAACAGACCGATGATCTGCAACGCCAACATATCCTGGAGAGAGAGTCAGAACAAAAGACAAAAAATAAATAAAACAAAATAGAGAGGGAAAAAAACGTCTGAAACACTTAATCAAACATTTTCCACTTAAATACAAATTTTTTCTTTTTTTTTGAATTATACACTTTTTCCATTATATCAGTTAAATGTGCTTTAAAATATGTAAGTACAATGCATTTGTTAGTTCATATTTTCTATAATATCTTAAAATCTTTTGATTTATATTATATACTGTACATGTTCCTGATGTTTAAATATAATTTGCTTTCACAGATTGGCATGAGAGGATGTGTGTTACATGTGTTACATTTTTACAATAATCAACTCCTTCACAAACTATTATACTTCTGTATGCAATTCATCTTGTGCATTAGTAACTAACAGGTGTGATTATATATAGTATCAGCTATTTTACAACAGCTTTGAGTCACTGGTTTATCTAATCGGAGTTCATAGTCAAAACATAAATTGATATGTAAATAAGGGACGGCAAAAGCAAAGCTTATGAAACCTGTCTGCAGTCGTCTCCAACTTTAAAGATAGCCGCCTGCCAGCAGATCTTCTGTGTGTCGTCTCCACTCTGAGCTTCATCCAGTGAGTCGGAGCGACACAGCAAACCTACAAACACACACAAGCTTTGATTCGGTGTCATTCATGTGTTAGCAAGCTTGAAAAGCACCATTATCCCTCAGACATTCATCTTCACACATTTCTAAAATTACTATTTTTAAAAGCCATGTCATGCATTTAAAGTTGGAAAAATGTGTCATCGTAATTGTATTTTATATTTATTTTATTACATTTTCATTTCTAATCATTATTTATGCAATATTTATTTTTTGTGTGTTTTTTATGCCATATCATGCATTCAAGTTGGAAAAATCTTTTTATATTTTACATTTGTTTTTTTATTTAAAGCTTCATTTCTGCCACTTATTTATGCATGGTCTTTTCCTTCTGTCGTCTGTTTGCATACTAAAAACTGTGATTATTCAATTTGTTCTTTCATTTATTTATCTGTTTTGTTCGGTTGTTTTCACCATGGGTCAAAAAAAGGGTAAATGTGACTTTATCTCACTATTTGTTTCTATTTTTTCTTCCTCCTCACAATTCTTTGGTTTCAGAATTGCGAGATATAAACGTATTCTGAGAAGTCTGAATAGTGAGATATAAAGTCACCACCAAAAAAAAAAGAGTCAAAATTCTGAGATAAAAAGTTGCAATTTTTTTTTCATTTTTCATTCCATGCTGGTAACAAAAAAAAATTTTTTTGATGTTTTTAACTCAGAATTCTGACATTTTCCTTGCGATTTCCGAGATTATATCTCAAAATTCTGAGAAAATAAAACAGAATTGTAAGATATAAACTCAGAATTGCTAGGAAAAAGGTCATAATTTTTTTTCTCCTTTTAATTCCGTGGTGGAAACAAGCTTCCATGATATTGAGCATTACTATCAATCTGTCTATAAGTGGGTTTTCTGCTGTCTTCCAAGCACTGCTGTTTTCTTCAGGAATTACAGAATTAGGTCTGTGTTGCAATAGTTGACGTACCCTCTTTCTCCAGTTCACTCACTCCACAGCGTTTCACCTTGAATTTGGCCAGATACGGCGCTTTGGCAGCACTGAGAGGGGAAAAACACACAGAAACATGTTTTCTTGTGCATCAAACACACGTGACGCTGTGTGATGTGTTCAGCGCTCATCGTACCTCTGCATCGGCAGTCCTGATTTATAGTCAATGTCCAGGACTATAGCTTCAGGGTTACTGGGCAGATAACAGCCTGAGCAACAGACCAAAAGTCAGTCAAGTCAT